GATATGCAGGATGTATTTGCATTCGCTGGATCAAATGTGGCATAAATACCCAATACATCCAAATCTGAATACTGGTGGGGTTTGGAGGGAGGTTGATTTTGTCATTTGGGAGTTGTAGTTGCTCGGATATATAGTTCACCTACAATCAAATAGCATTCTGAACTCCATCAACAATGGAATTGAACCAAATTTGGCCCACAGAACTCCCATGACCAACAGGAAATACTGGAAGGGTTTGGTGGGCATTGACCTTGAGTTTTGGAGTTGTAGTTCACTTACCTCCAGATAGCATTGTGGACTCATACAATGACGGATCTGGACCAAACTTGTCCTTGGATCGTCAATGTGCCCAAATGTAAACACTGGTGGAGTTTGGAGAAAATAGACCTTGACATTTGGGAGTTGCAGTTTATAGTTCACCTATAATCATTTATAGTTCACCTATAATGAAAGAGCGTTCTGAACCCCACCAATTACAGAATTGGGGCAAACTTTCCACACAGAACTCCCATGACAACAGAAAATACTGGAAGGGTTTGGTGGGTATTGACCTGCAGTTTGGGAGTTGTAGTTCACTTACATCCAGAGAGCATTGTGGAGTCATACAGTGACGGATCTGGACCAAACTTGGCCTTGGATCGTCGATATGCCCAAATGTAAACACTGGTGGAGTTTGGAGAAAATAGAGCTTGACATTTGGGAGTTGCAGTTGCTGGGATTTATAGTTCACCTACAATCAAAGAGCATTCTGAACTCCACCACGATTGATTGAACCAAACTTGCACATAGAGGTGGCACAGCAGGGAGATTGGTCTGTAGTAGGCCTGTTTGATCAAGAAAAAATTTGTTTCTAAAATCGATTTGTAATTGGGGTGTTTTTTTTGTTTCGATATTTAAAATAATTACAAAACTTTCCAAAAAAAAGTTTTGGTATTTAAGAAATTTTGTAAATATTAACGAATTTTTAGAATATTTTTGGTATTTCTTAAGAATAATATTAAAATAATATTAAAAAATATTTTAAAATGGAAAATTAACCAAAAAATGGCCCAAATGTGGACCAAACACAGGCAGGAGACAGCAAATGAGAGCACACACCAACAGAAGAGTCTTTTCTTTTTTAGAATATTTTTTAAGAATAATATTAAAATAATATTAAAAATAATATTAAAATAAAAAAATATTTTAAAATGGAAAATTAACCAAAAAATGGCCCAAATGTGGACCAAACACAGGCAGGAGACAGCAAATGAGAGCACACACCAACAGAAGAGTCTTTTCTTTTTTAGAATATTTTTTAAAATAATATTAAAATAATATTAAAAAATAATATTAAAATAATATTAAAAAATCTTTTAAAATGGAAAATTAACCAAAAAATGGCCCAAATGTGGACCAAACACAGGCAGGATACAGCAAATGAGAGCACACACCAACAGAAGAGTCTTTTCTTTTTTAGAATATTTTTTAAAATAATATTAAAATAATATTAAAAAATAATATTAAAAATATTTTAAAATGGAAAATTAACCAAAAAATGGCCCAAATGTGGACCAAACACAGGCAAGAGACAGCAAATGAAGCAAGAAGCACTCACAGCAGCAAGGAATGAATCCAATCCGAGTTGCTAGCAGCCATTGCCAAGCCAACCCAATGCAAACTCCCTCGCCCTCTTGAAGCTACGGGCCGCGCGGAGCCGCTTTGAAAGGGCTCGCCGGCCAATCAAAAACAGACAGCCACGGACCCATGGTGCACTGCTTGGGAGCGCCGGATTGGCTCCCATGCACCAGCACTCCAGCAGCCTCCACCCCATTAACGAAACGAGCGGAGGCTCGTAAATACTATGGGGGCTGCTGGTTCGATATTTATAAACCCTTCCGGGTTTGGAGATTTGTTTCAATATCGCTTCAGAAATGGTAAAATTAACGAATTATTAACGAATTAACGAATTAACGAACCAAATCGCACAGGCCTAGTTACTGATGTTCTTTGGTGACCCCTCTGACACCCCCTCACGACCCCAGCAGGGGTCTCGACCCCCAGGTTGAGAAATGCTGGGCTAACCAACAAAAGGTACTACTATTCGTTTGACCCTAATAAGTAAACTTAAAGAGAGAGAGAACGCTTAATCAAACTCGCAAATGTGGAGGAATGACTGTTAGTCCCCTTTCTGACTTGAGCTTTTGTAGAGTTGGAAGAGACTCTATGGACCATCAGCCCCGAATGCTTCCCAATGCAGGATCCCTATCCTCTCCTTCCTAGCTCTGCTGTCTCCTACATCTCTTTTTGATGACTTTGGGTCTCTCCATGAAGATTAATATAGCTCAATTAGCTGTGGCTGGTTCTCAGAGCTCTCCGTGCCAAACCCCATTCGGGGGAAAGACATCTCTGCCACAGCTGTCCTAATGAAGTCCGTGGGTGGATGTGTTAAGAAAAGCTTTGAGATAATCGGCTATAATTTTCATAAACAACATGCAGATAAAAATCTTATAGCCTCCGGTGCTCATTCCAGCCAGAAATAGCATCTCCAGGAAACCCGTCGGCCCATTTCCCAGCAGAGCTGAGCAAATCCCTGTCTTGGTGTCTGTCTAGTTGGGTCGAACAATAAAAATGTCAAAGCCTCGGCCGCCTGGTCTTAATTGTCTACTTGAAGACGTCGCAGTTTGTTCCATCAGGATCGTATTTCCTGTTGCGACAAGGCAAGGAATCCTGAACCAAGGCAAGCATTGTGAAACAAAGCCGGCAACAGTTGGTGCGTCTGTAGTGCCGTTTGGCATCACTTCAACTGCCATGGCTCAATGCTGTTGTATCCCGGGAGTTGTAGTCTTATAAGATCTTTAGCCTTGTCTGCCAAAGAGCGCTTGCGCGTCATCAAACTACAAACTGATTCCATAACATCGAGCCATGGCAATTAAAGTGGGATTGTGCTGTCGCATGCTGGGCCTGTGCATAAGACTGTAGACAGGACATAAATTCTGTGTGCCCAACGGGACACCGGGGCTGCCTCAGATTAAAGGTCCTTGGATTTTCTTAAAACAGAGTCTTTAGATTGCTTAAAGGTTCAACAAAGTTCTTTATTATTGAAAACAAACAGGTACTTCAAGACTTTCTTAATAGTCTATTGGCACTCTCAGTCTTGTCCACTGGTAACAGGCACTATCTTCATAAACTGTATATTAACTAATGGGGAAATCCTTAACTTCTAATCTGGGCAGTCTGTCTCTGCCTCTGTTGGCGTGGAGCCCCTACACCCGGTACCAACTGCTTCTGGCTTCCACGAGTGACCCTTACCAAGCAGAGCTTTGTAGACTTCCAGGGGAAAAAGGAGTTCAGCTTTCTGTGATGGCTGGCTGAAGTGCTGTGGGACCGGATTCCCTCAGCAAAGGAGCTGTAATGCTGTATATCTCCCGGCCAAGCCGTGGGGCTGTGTATCCTCGGCAAAGCTATGGGGCCTTTTCTCCCCGGCCAAGCTGTAACCTTTTCTCCCCAGCCAAGCTGTGGGGCTGTATATCTCCCGGCCAAGCCGTAGAAGATGAAGCTTTCTACAGGAGCTCTTGGTTTTATGTCCTGTATGACCCGTCGCAAACTAGGTTCCTGCGGGAGCAAACCTTGCTAGCACGACCCTGACGTCATGAGACTCTGCCTCTCACCCCGCCCCTTTCTCCGCCTCTTTCTCCGTGCGAGAGTGGTTTTTCCTTTGCTAGGGCAGCATTGCCAGCGTACTCTCTCAGTTGGCAGAATTCAACTGAGAGAAAATGCGGGCAATGCTGCCCTAGCAAAGGAAAAACCACGCTGGCAAAGAGAAAGGGGTGGAGAAAGGGGCGGGGAGAGAGGCGCAGGCTCATGACGTCAGGGACGTGCTAGCAAGGTTTGCTCCCGCAGGAACCTAGTTTGCGGCGGCTCTATGAAAGGCTTCTCTGTGTGGTCTGACCCCAAAATGGCTCCTATTCCCTCCAAAACCCAAAAAGGGGGCAGGACCATATAATTGACAGGTGGCTATAACTATAATTGACAGGTTGCTTGCCCTATGATTGCAGCCAAAAGAAGCCACCTATCTGCAGAGCCCCTGAAATTCAGGACTACAACAAACATTCAGTGCAAAGCAAACAAAATTGGAGCTCCTGGTACAGCTGTACCTGCATAGGGATCAAACTGCATTCATTCTACATTCTACTTACTTAGGCGATCCCTCATTGGCTGAGTAGGATCAGTATTCTTGTGGGTCCGTAGGTGACTGTGGACCCCTATTCTTGATCTGCGTCTTCTCCTGCAGTGAGGGCATTGGTTTCCAGGTCGGGGTTGGCTTGATGTGCCTTCCTCTTGGCACGTTTCTCTCTTTCACCCTCCATTCGTGCCTCGTCATATTCTGCAGCACTGCTGGTCACCGCTGACCTCAGCTGGAGCACTCAAGGGCCAGGGCTTCCCAGCTCTCAGTGTCTATGCCAGAGTTTTTAAGGTTGGCTTTGAGCCCATCTTTGAATCTCTTTTCCTGCCCAACAGCATTCCATTTTCCGTTCTTGAGTTCGGAGTAGAGCGACTGCTTTAGGAGACGGTGGGCGGGCATCCGAACAACATGGCCGGCCCAGCAGAGTTGATGGCGGAGGACCATCGCTTCAATGCTGGCGGTCTTTGCTTCTTCCAGCACGCTGATGTTTGTCCGCCTGTCTTCCCAAGAGATTTGCAGGATTTTCCGGATGGAATCGTTCCAGGAGTTGCATGTGACGTCTGTAGACAGTCCACGTCTCGCAGGCGTATAGCAGGATTGGGAGGACAATAGCTTTATAGACAAGCACCTTGGTATCCCTACGGATGTCCCGGTCCTCAAACACTCTCTGCTTCATTCAGATGTAGACACACCTAATGGTGGTGTATTGCAACCAGAATATTTATTTATTTGCATGCTCCAATGTAGGAATCAGACCTTTTGAACCTTAAGAGAGATGTGATTGTAAGGGAAAGAAAGGGCAACTGAGTTTTCATTCTCTTTCTCCACTGGGCAGATCATAAGTGTTCTGACGACGGCTGCGAACAACGTCTCTGGGATCTACTTCTGTGTGGCTTCCAATAAAGTGGGCACCGAAGAAAGAAGGATTGAGTTCTTCGTCTCTGGTAAGACATGGCCATGGGTCTCCTGGTTCATTTCCGTACTGCTTTCCCAGATGAATCTGGTTCCCCTTATTCTCTCCATACAGTACATTTTTTTTATGGAATAGAAAAAGGTGAGCTGTAACAAATGATAACCATGATAAGGATGAAGATACAATGGGATGGGTCTCGGGGGCACAGTTCTGTCGTGGCTCCGATCCTTCCTGGAGGGCTGTTCCCAGTTGGTGAAGCTGGGAGATGCCTGCTCGGACACCTGGCCCTTGACCTGTGGGGTCCCGCAAGGCTCTATTCTGTCTCCCATGCTCTTTAACATCTACATGAAACCGCTGGGAGAGGTCATCCAGAGTTTTGGAGTTAGGTGCCATCTCTACGCAGATGACACACAACTCTACTACTCATTTCCACCCAATTCCAAGGAAGCCCCTCGAGTGCTAGACGAGTGCATGGCCGCTTTGTCTATCTGGATGAGGAGGAACAAGCTGAAGATCAATCCCGACAAGACAGAGGTCCTCCTGGTCGATCGTAAACCTGACCGGGGTATAGGGTGGCAACCTGTGTTGGACGGGGTTACACTCCCCCTGAAGTCACAGGTCCGCAGTTTGGGAGTCCTCTTGGATTCATCGCTCACATTTGAGGCTCAGGCGTTGGCGGTGTCTGGGAGGGCTTTCGCACAACTAAGACTCGTGCACCAACTGCGACCGTACCTCGCGAAAGCTGATCTAGCCGGAGTGGTCCATGCCTTGGTCACCTCTAGGTTGGATTACTGTATTGCACTCTACGTGGGGCTGCCCTTGAAAACGGCTCGGAAATTTCAATTGGTCCTGGCAGCGGCCAGGATGTTAACTGGTGCTCCCTACAGAGAGAGGTCAACCCTCCTGTTCAAGGAGCTCCACTGGCTGCTGTTTATCTTCCGAGCCCAATTCAAGGTGCAGGTACCTACAAAGGTATCTACAAAGCTCTGAACGGTTTGGGACCAGCCTACCTGTGTGACCGCATCTCCATCTACGAACCGTCACGTTCACTACGCTCATCTGGAGAGGCCCTGCTCGTGATCCCGCCTGCGTCGCAAGCGTGTTTGGTGGGGACACGAGACAGGGCCTTATCGGTGGTGGCCCCCCGACACTGGAACACCCTCCCCAAAGATCTTAGACAGGCCCCTACATTGGCAGACTTCAGAAAGAACTTGAAGACCTGGCTGTTCCGATGTGCCTTTCCAGAATAGGAAATCTCCAATACCAAGTCCCATAAGCACTTTATTAGAATTAAGACTGCCGCACACTGCACATTGCACTGCCCTATAATCCTTACATATCACCTGTCACATCAGCACTTTTTAATCCTGTACCCTTCACTCTGACCCGGCCCAGTTTTTTATCTTGTTTGATGTATTGTTTATTGCTTGTGGTTCTTTGTTGTTTAATACTGCTTTAATTGTTTATAATTTGCTTTAAGTGTATTGTATGTTGTGTATTGAGGCCTTGGCCTTTGTAAGCCGCATCGAGTCCTTCGGGAGATGCTAGCGGGGTACAAATAAAGTTTAATAATAATAATAATAATGGCAGACATCCATTTCTCTTTCCTATTGCAGACATGCCCTCAAAACTACAGACTGACCCCCAGGTCACAGCCATTGTAGCTGGAGATGTCCAGCTGACCTGCAAGTCCTCCAAGTACCTCTACAGCCACCTCTCGTGGTATGACCCCACTTTGCAGGAAATCCCGGAGTCCTTCACCCAGAAGAAGGTGGATAACTACTCCATCTCGGTGACGCTGGGCCTCCAGAATGTCTCCCAGGCCCAGTCAGGGCTCTACATGTGCAGGGCCCGGGCCCACGGCAACAGCACCGAGGGGCTGGAGAAGAGCACCATGCTCAGCATCAAGCGTGAGTCTCTGGGCCGGCCACATCTTGGACCTTTTCCTGGAAAGACTGGGAATTTGGATTGAAGTGTCCAACTCTCAGCCACCATCCATGGCCGCAATCATGTTGGTTGTCATATTGTTGTTATTGTTGTTTGTCTTCAAGCCATTCCTGAGGAAGAAGCTTCGGAACGCATCTTTCCATGCGTTCATCGAGTCCTGGAATAGGGTTCTCGGTGACCAGCTCAGGGTGCATCTACACTGTTGAATAAATGCAATTCAACACCACTTGAACTTCCATTTCTTTAGCCTCTTCTGCACCCTTTGGAAGAAGAGGCTAAAGACATTGGGAAACTACAGCTGTCTTGAGCCATGGCAATTCAAGTGGTGCCAAACTGCATTAATTCTGCAGTGTAGATGCACCTTCAGCCACGGAAACTCATGGAGTGTGTAAGTCACATTCATTCCCCCGCTGAAGAAAACTGGCCACAGTAATAGAGTTCCAGTAAGTTGCAGTCAAAGGCACATAACAAAACCAAGTCCTTCCTTCCTATTTCCCTTTGTTCCTTCCTTCCTTCCTTCCTTCTCTCCCTCCTTCCTTCCTCCCCTTCTCCCTTCCCTTCCCTTCCCCTTCCCCTTCCTTCCCTCTTTTCCTTTTTCTTTCCTTTCCTTTTCTTTTCTTCCCTTTCCTTTCCTTCCTTCTCTCCTTCCTTCCTTCCTTCCCTCCTCCCCTTCCCCTTCCCCTTCGCCTTCGCCTTCGCCTTCGCCTTCCTTCCTTCCTTCCTTCCTTCCTTCCTTCCTTCCTTCCTTCTCTCCTTTCCATTCCTTTCCCCTTCCTTCCTTCCTTCCTTCCTTCCTTCCTTCCTTCCTTCCTTCCTTCTTTTCTTCTCTCCTTTCCATTCCTTTCCCCTTCCTTCCTTCCTTCCTTCCTTCCTTCCTTCCTTCCTTCCTTCCTTCCTTCCTTCCTTCCTTTCTTCTCTCCTTTCCATTCCTTTCCCCTTCCTTCCTTCCTTCCTTCCTTCTCTCTTGCCCTCCTCCCTTCCCTCCTCCCATCCCTCCTCCCCTCTCTCCTCCCCCCCTCCTCCCTTCCTTCCCTTCCCTTCCCTCCCCCTTCTTTCCTTCCTTCCCTCTCTCATTCCCTCCTCCTTTCCCTCCCTCCTTTCTTCCTCTCTTTCTTCACTCCCTCCTTCGTTCCTTCCTTCTTTCTTTCCTTCTCTCTTGTCCTCCTCCCCTCCCTCCTCCCTTCCCTTCCCTAACCTTTCCTTCCTTCCTTCCCTCTCTCATTCCCTCCTCCCTTCCCTCCCTCCTTTCTTCCTCTTTCTTCACTCCCTCCTTCACTCCTTCTTTCCTTCCTTCTCTCTTGCCCTCCTCCCTCCTCCCCTCCTTCCTCCCTTCCTTCCCTTCCCTTCCCTACCCCTTCCCTCCTTCCTTCCCTCTCTCATTCCCTCCTCCCTTCCCTCCCTCCTTTCTTCCTCTCTTTCTTCACTCCCTCCTTCACTCCCTCCCTCCTTTCTTCCTTCCCTCGCTCTCTCTCTCCTCCCTTCCTTCCTCCCTTCCTCCCTTCCTCCCTTCCTCCCTTCCTTCCTTCCTTCCTTCCTTCCCTCCCTCCCTCCCTCCCTCCCTCCCTCCCTTCTTTCTTTCTTTCTTTCTTTCTTTCTTTCTTTCTTCTCTTTTTCTCTCTCCTCCTTTCTGGGAAGATGCCACCATAGTCCCACTGGTCCAAGTAAAAAGAGTTTAACACTATCGATAGATATAGAAGCATTAAAGGTCCATTGACCAATGTGGAAGGAGAGAACAGAGGTGCACGGGGAAAACTTTCAAGTGTCCACTTCCTTTCTTCAGGAAAGGGAACAGTGGTCAAAGAAACCAGACAAAAAGTCTAGACTGTGCCAAGTTCTGTGGATTCATTAGAATTTCAGAAGACAAAGGGAACAAAAGAGAATTCTTTGAGGCGCAAGTCAAAGAGAAGAGGCTCCCAGGTCCCAGGAAGTCAGACCTCTTCTCAAATCCGCCTGGATGCAAACTCTGTTCTCAGGTCACGAATGATTTTAGTTTTCCGATCATGCACATTCTGGGATTTTATAAGGGGGGAAATTAAAGAGTCGCTTGCATATCACATATCATTGCAGTAATTTTTCAGAGTGGATGCCCAAGTCCCATGATATGCAACAGCATAGTAAAATGGCCCCATTGGTGCAGCGGGTTAAACCGCTGCACTGCTGAACTTGCTGACCGAAAGGTGCGCGGTTCGAATCTGGGGAATGGAGTGAGCTCCGGCTGTTAGCCCCAGCTTCTGCCAAGCTAGCAGTTCAAAAATGTGCAAATGTGAGTAGATCAATAGGTAACTTAATATCAAATGGCAAATCAAGATTTGCTTTTGGCATTTTTAAAAACAATATTTTCAGCCCATGGATGCATATCCATCAATATATAGTAGGCTTGGGCGATGCAGTTCGTTAATTTCGTTATTCGTTATTAATTCGTATTTAAATTAGCTTACGATCCAATATCGAGCCATGCAGGAATAGTGTGAGGAGTAATTAAGAATTGAAACAATTTTTCCAATTTTCGTAATTATTTCGTAATTATTTTCGTAATATAATATAATAATATATAATATATAATATAATATATATAATATAATAATATATAATATATATAATATAATAATATATAATATTATAATATTATAATAATATAATATAATATACAATAATATAATATAATAATATTATAATATAATATACAACAATATAATATAATAATATTATAATAATATAATATAATATAATATAATATAATATAATATAATATAATATAATATAATATAATATAATATAATATAGTTGTTGTTTGTTTTATCACACCAACAGTCAACAACAGAGGGAGAGGGAAGCTTCAGAAGTTCCCCCTGTCCCATTTGGAGGTTTTTTTAGCATATTGCGCAATCACGTCCGCCATTAACAAATCGATTCAAAATTTACGAAATTTCGTAAATTTCAAAATTTTGAAAAGGACAATTTCGGAAGTCCAAAAAAAACCCGAAACACCGTCGCCCCCTACAAACGAAACGAGTTTAGAACCAAATTTTTCCGTTGTTACCCAAGCCTAATATATAGGCCTATGACCCCATAGGTCAGTGTTTAATTGGAAAGTCATTTTTAGAGATAGCCACAGTTTGAGGATATCATTTTGCATCGGCTTATATTTATTTATTTATTTATTTATTTATTTATTTATTTATTAGGAGCATTTCTATCCCATCTATAACGACCAAGCACCACTTAAAAATATAAATATGACGCGTGGCTCACTAACAATATAAAGCCGTTACAAGGAAGAGGGAGTATGGTTGCCGAAACAGTTGTATAGATTTGAATTTCTCTTTAAATTAGTTGTTGAAATATATCCCACTGAAATATAACACTATCAGGGGAATTTAGATCAGAGAAGGGGAGAGACACTTAGAAATTTAAAATGTAGGAACTGGGAAACACTAAACTTGAGAGATTTAAAATGATTCTTCAAATCCGCTGCCACCATTCCAATAATAATCAGGCTGAGGTAATATTGTGAGTTTGTTCTGTAACACACACTGTGCCACTTTAGGTTCCTAGTGGCTGCTGTGAAGCTGTCTTTAGGAATACTTTGACCACAAAGGTACACACACTGAGGCCGGTATAAGTTAATAAAGAAACAAGAATGTTTATTGAACAGGCTTGAATTAATTCAGGTACAAATGCTTAATGGTTTCAGAAAGTTCTGGCATGAAAAAGCTTGTGGTTGCATTAGAGTGAAATCTTAAATACTTCTGGGTTACAAGTCTTCAAAGTTACTTCAGGAAATTAATCTCTGACAGTAACTCCCAAAACTGCCCCTTAGGATCTAGCCAAAAATACCCTGAACTAGACTTCCCTTGGAATTGAACGGTCCACTAACTGCGTACTGCTCCACAACAATATTCTAGCTATCTACTAATAGTTACTCTGAATACTTCACAAAAGACTAACCCAATCTTCTCCTCAAAGCCCAAACTCGCTCTGAACTAACACCAACTCTCTCTTCGACAACTCCAAACTCTAACTGACTCACTGAGACTTCAAGCCTCTGTTTTAAAAGGACACTTTTTTGCTCTAAACCACTTTCTAGCTAATACTAGCCTTCTTAATTTCCCTCTAAGACTTGAACACGACCCCTCAAGGAAAACCTAACTAAAATGGCTTTGCCAGGCCTACTCCTTTAGGCTTCAACCAACTAGCTAAGGTAAGGGATTCATTACACTGTCCTTCTCACCTCCGAAGAGGCACTCAGGACGGCTACCAGCAGGCACCATTTGGTGCCGAACAATAAATAAAAAAGCATAAAATAGACTTAGCATACATTTAAAACAATTAAAAATATACATTAAAACATTTCACCATTTCAAGTCGTCTTCCGAATAAGTCCATTGCTGTTCGCTAAAACTTTCTTACCATTAAAACCATCTATTCTGCAAATGCTTGATCCCATAACCAGGTTTTGAGCTTCTTCCGGAAGTTCATGAAGGAGGAGTCAGATCTAATCTCCTTAGAGAGGGAGTTCCACAGCCGAGGGGCCACCACCGAGAAGGCCCTGTTTCTCATTCCCACCAACTGCTACTGCGATGGTGGTGGGACCGGGAGCAGGGCCTCTCCAGACGATCTTTAGGTCGTTGGGGGTTCGTAGAGGGAGATACGTTTGGACAGGTAAGCTGGGCCGGAATCGTTTAGGGTTTTATTGGTCACGGCCAGCACTTTGAATTGTGCTCAGAAGCTAATAGGTAACCAGTGAAGCTGTTGTAACAAGGGGGTTGTATGCGCCCTGTACCCAACTGCCGTGAACAACCTAGCTGGAGCTTCCGAGGAGTCTTCAGAGGCAACTCCACATAGAGTGCATTGCAGTAATCTATGCAGGATGTATCCAGAGTGTTACAATCCCATAACTGGATGTTCTCCTGATGTTTCTTGACTTCGATTGATTCCTGCATCTCTGTCTCATGGGAAGTTTGGGGAATTGTATGAAAGAAATATGGAATTCTGAGATCCACAATGACCACAAAAGGAGACATATGCAGATGTGAGATTTACATCTGTGTAACAAACTTTGACTTATACATTTGACTTATACATTGACTTAGCTCAAATGTAGCTCTGGTACATTCAGATCATCACTCCATTCAGGTAGAATTGGAGGGATGTAGGTGGATTCGTGGCCATCAGAGAGCTCTCTTTTTACTCTCTTTGCAGTTAAGACCATCCCTCGCATTATGGAGAACTTGACCGACTTGGAGGTGAACGTCAGTGGGAAGATCGTCCTCGAGTGCCGGGCCCGTGGGACACCCCAACCGGTGATCGCGTGGCTGAAGAACGGCAACCCCATCACCCCAGCTTCAGGTGAGCCCTTGTTCCCTAAACGTTTGGTGCCATCATGTTGTTGTGCTTGTTTTGTCATGGCCAAAAGGTGTAGCAGACCTGGAAGTTGCTCACCTTCAATTAGAGCATGAGCTGCACTCTTTCTATAATGTTGTTGTTGTTGTTCATTCGTTCAGTCGTCTCCGACTCTTCGTGACCTCATGGACCAGTCCACGCCAGAGCTCCCTGTCGGCCGTCACCACCCCCAGCTCCTTCAAGGTCAGTCCAGTCACTTCAAGGATGCCATCCATCCATCTTGCCCTTGGTCGGCCCCTCTTCCTTTTACCTTCCACTTTCCCCAGCATAATTGTCTTCTCTAGGCTTTGCTGTCTCCTCATGATGTGGCCAAAGGACTTCAACTTTGTCTCTAGTCTCCTTCCCTCTAGTGAGCAGTCGGGCTTTATTTCCTGGAGGATGGACTGGTTGGATCTTCTCGCAGTCCAAGGCACTCTCAGCACTTTCCTCCATCACCACAGCTCAAAAGCCTCTCTCTTCCTTTGCTCAGCCTTCCCTAAGGTCCAGCTCTCACATCCGTAGGTGACTACAGGGAATACCATGGCTTTGACTAGGCAATGGATCTTATTTATTTATTTATTTACTGTCCTTGTATACCGCCGTTTCTCAGCCTAACTGGCGACTCAACGCGGTTTACAACAAAATATACAGTACACAGTATACAATTAAAACCATAAAAAACATAATACACAATATTACACGTAAATCACAATCCAATACATCTCCTAACTAAAATCGTGGTCCAATTGCATCATCCATATTACCAATCCGTAGTCGACACATTCATTGCACCGAATCTTGGTTGCCAGTGTGATGTCTCTACTCTTGACTATTTTATCGAGACTGGACATTGCTCTCCTCCCAAGAAGGAAGCGTCTCCTGATTTCCTGGCCACAGTCTGCATCTGCAGTAATCTTTGCACCTAGAAATACAAAGTCTGTCATGGCCTCCACGTTTTCTCCCTCTATTTCCCAGTTGTCAATCATTCTTGTTTATTTATTTATTATTTATTTATTACTGCACTTGTAGACCGTCGTTCTCAGCCCTAGGGCGACTCACGGCGGTGTACAACATGTAAAAACAATTTACAAAAAAGGCAATATCACAACAATAACAACATCACTATTAATAATACAATTACACTAAATCCTTCGCGACGTCTCATCATAGAATCACAATCCAATCTCGTTATCCATATTCCGTTCCAGTCATCATTGCCATAATCTTGGTTTTTTTGACGTTTAGCTGCAACCCGGCTTTTGCGCTTTCTTCTTTCACCTTGATTAGAAGGATCCTCAGCTCCTCCTCGCTTTCGGCCATCAGAGTGGTGTCATCTGCATATCTGAGGTTGTTAATGTTTCTTCCAGCAATTTTCACCCCAGCTTTGCATTCATCCAGCCCCGCACATCGCATGATGTGTTCTGCATACAAGTTAAAAAGGTTGGGTGAGAGTATGCAGCCTTGCCGTACGCCTTTCCCAATCTTGAACCAGTCTGTTGTTCCATGGTCAGTTCTGACTGTTGCTACTTGGTCCTTGTACAGATTCCTCAGGAGAGAGACAAGGTGGCTTGGGATGCCCATCCCACCAAGAACTTGCCACCATTTATTATGATCCACACAGTCAAAGGCCTTAGAATAGTCAATGAAGCAGAAATAGTTGTTTTTCTGAAACTCCCTGCCTTTCTCCATTCTCCAGCATCCGGATATTGGCACTCTGGTCTCTGGTTCCTCTGCCTTTTCTAAACCCAGCTTGAACATCTGGTCTCGCTCCATGTATTGCTGGAGTCTTCCTTGCAGGATCTTGAGCATTCCCTTCCTGGCATGATGAGAAATAAGGGCCACTGTACGGAAGTTGGAGCAGTCTTTCGCATTTCCCTTTTTTGGTATGGGGATATAAGTTGATTTTTTCCAGTCTGATGGCCATTCTTGTGTTTTCCATATTTGCTGGCATATGGCATGCATCACCTTGACAGCATCCTCTTTTAAGATTTTAAACAGTTCAGCTGGGATCCCGTCGTCTCCTGCTGCCTTGTTGTTAGCAATGCTTCTTAAGGCCCATTCAACCTCACTCCTCAGGATGTCTGGTTCTAATTCATTCACCAAACCGTCAAAGCTATCCTCAATATTGTTATCCTTCCTTGCTTCATAATAATAGTTTTCATCAATTTTATCAAGGCCTTCAACAAAGTCCCCATGCCCTTCTTACAAGCAAACTGTCATGATGCCAGGGCTCTGCCTTATTCAGGCATACATGCACCAAACAAAAACCCACTTTGTGATAATAGTCCACAATTTAATTAAAACAATTAACAATTAAAACAATAATAGTGCACAATTTAATTACTTTCTGGCTGTTTTAATAGTCCAAAATATAAAATATAAATATTGCACTCAGCCACAGAATATAAAACAAAACCAGAAAACAGTGTTGCAGGTTCAAGATAACTCTGTAGTCAAAAGGTCCAGTCCAGTGGTCAAATGCCAAGAGTTTAATAAACAAAGTCCAAGGATCAAGAGTCTATACCGTAGTCAAAAACCAGTCCAAAGGTTCCAGTTTCCAGGATTCCAAAAGTTCAGGGGACAGATCAGGACACCGAAAATCCACAAACCTGGGGGAAAACCAGCAGCATCTACCACCAAGATAAAACAATACTTTTCTCCCGAAGTAAAGTAAAGTAAAGTAAAGTAAAGACTGCTCTGGAACTACCTCCCAAAAGAGGTGAGTTTGACCCCCTCATTATGGACTTTTCATTCCCAAGTTAAAACTTTTTTATGGAAACAGGCCTTAGAATCATAGAATCATAGAATCAAAGAGTTGGAAGAGACCTCGTGGGCCATCCAGTCCAACCCCATTCTGCCAAGAAGCAGGAATATTGCATTCAAATCACCCTTGACAAATGGCCATCCAGCCTCTGCTTAAAAGCTTCCAAAGAAGGAGCCTCCACCACACTCCGGGGCAGAGAGTTCCACTGCTGAACGGCTCTCACAGTCAGGAAGTTCTTCCTCATGTTCAGATGGAATCTCCTCTCTTGTAGTTTGAAGCCATTGTTCCGCGTCCTAGTCTCCAAGGAAGCAGAAAACAAGCTTGCTCCCTCCTCCCTGTGGCTTCCTCTCACATATTTATACATGGCTATCATATCTCCTCTCAGCCTTCTCTTCTTCAGGCTAAACATGCCCAGTTCCCTTGATCATTTTAGTCGCCCTCCTCTGGAAACATTCCAGCTTGTCAATATCTCTCTTGAATTGTGGTGCCCAGAATTGGACACAGTATTCCAAGTGTGTTCTAACCAAAGCAGAATAGAGGGGTAGCATGACTTCCTTAGATCTAGACACTATGCTCCTATTGATGCAGGCCAAAATCCCATTGGCTTTTTTGCCGCCTCATCACATTCCTGGCTCATGTTTAACTTGTTGTCCACGAGGACTCCAAGATCTTTTTCACACGTACTGCTCTTGAGCCAGGCATTGTCCCCCATTCTGTATCTTTGCATTTCGTTTTTCCTGCCAAAGTGGAGTATCTTGCATTTGTCACTGTTGAACTTCATTTTGTTAGTTTGGGCCCATCTCTCTAATCTGTCAAGATCGTTTTGAATTCTGCTCCTGTCCTCTGGACTATTGGCTATCCCTCCCAATTTGGTGTCGTCTGCAAACTTGATGATCATGCCTTTCCAGACAATACACAATAGCGGCTTATCTTGGTCAGACAAGGCTCACATAGCCAAAGATTTGGAGCTTCAGGATGTCTAGTTTCATGTTTTAATTTATTAGGACAACCTCAGTGGCCTGAGGCATAAGGATTTTAGTGTTAAGGTTAATTATAATGATATATGTGGTTATTTTTTATGCTTATTTATATTTATATAATTTATGGTTTATTCATTGTGTTGATTTATTGTTTCTTATGTCGAGTTGGAGGAATGATGATTATCTGCATTAGATATTATGTAGTTTTGTTTTTTTTCCTATTTTGTTTGCTGCTTTGAGTCCCATCCATGAGAGAAAAGTGGCATAAAAGTAAATAATAACAACAACAACAACAACAACAACAACAACAAGTATGGATCTTCAATGTTGCAATTGACGAGAAGCAACTGACACAATATCAGGATTTCTTTAAACTTTCTTTAATCAGGATTTCTTTAAACTTCGAACTGTGAAGTCTCTGGCACAAGCCAGTAAAGATGGTGATTGGCACACTGGGTGCAGTGCTTAAAGACCTTGGCCTGCACTTAAAAACAATTGATGCGGACAAAATTACTACCTGTCAGCTGCAAAAGGCTACCCTACTCAGATCTGCATGCATTATTCGCCGATACATCACACAGTCCTAGACACTTGGGAAGTGTCCAACGTGTGATCCAATACAAAAGCCAGCATAGGGATCTTGTTTGTTGTGTACTAATCTTAGAATCATAGAATCCTAGAGTTGGAAGAGACCTCATGGACCATCCAGTCCAACCCCATTCTGCCAAGAAGCAGGAATATTGCATTCAAAGCACCCCTGACAGATGGCCATCCAGCCTCTGTTTAAAAGCTTCCAAAGAAGGAGCCTCCACCACACTCCGGGGTAGATGTCATATAGCACTCGAGAGAAGACAAATGACACACGTAATTGCGTACGATCACACAGACTAGGGATCAGGAAAAGATTGTTAAGGAAGTGGTCTGCAAACACTTAGAAACAAATGCGGTCATTGCTAATAGTCAATAATAGAGTTACAAGCTGGGTAGATGCGGGGAATGCCGTGGATGTAGCGTACCTGGATTTCAGTAAGGCCTTCGACAAGGTCCCCCATGACCTTCTGGCAAGGAAACTAGTCCAATGTGGGCTAGGCAAAACTACGGTGAGGTGGATCTGTAATTGGTTAAATGGACGAACCCAGAGAGTGATTCTCCCCAAGGCTTCCTCTTCATCCTGGAAAGAAGTGACGAGTGGAGTGCCACAAGCAGGGTTCCGTCCTGGGCCC